CCAAGGTTGAGAAACACTGGCCTACAACAATGCTGGGGAATTCTGGGAGTTGAAGTCCAGACATCTTCAAGTGGCCAAGGTTGAGAAACACTGGCCTACAACAATGCTGGGGAATTCTGGGAGTTGAAGTCCAGACATCTTCAAGTGGCCAAGGTTGAGAAACACTGGCCTACAACAATGCTGGGGAATTCTGGGAGTTGAAGTCCAGACATCTTCAAGTGGCCAAGGTTGAGAAACACTGGCCTACAACAATGCTGGGGAATTCTGGGAGTTGAAGTCCAGACATCTTCAAGTGGCCAAGGTTGAGAAACACTGGCCTACAACAATGCTGGGGAATTCTGGGAGTTGAAGTCCAGACATCTTCAAGTGGCCAAGGTTGAGAAACACTGGCCTAGTTTGAAACAAAACCAGGCAAGAGAGAAGTAGCAACCCCGCCAAGAATTGACGGAGAATTCTTGACGGGGTTGCTACTTATTTCTTGCTCGGTTGTTTTCAAACTGGGCAACCTTGAGACGTTGTGGACTTCAAGTCCCAGAATTCCCCCGCCAGAATGCCAAAAGTGCCACAGAACCCCCGGACTTTCAACCGTTCCAGCGAGGTCGCGCATCTCACCTCCCCCCCCCCGGTCCTTTGGAACGTCGGCGCGTCCTTCGCAGCACCACCACCCCGCCCCCCTCCCCGTGACTCACGTGTCTTGCCGTTGCTCAGGCCAGGCCGGCTCGCGCTCGCCGCGCAGCAACTTCGCCACGCGCAGGCGCAGAATCCCCACAGCCGCCGCGATCCAGGCCACGGGCAGCAGAATCCAGAAGCGAATGGAAGGGTCCAGCCGCAGATCCGGCACCGTCATCGCGCGCGCGGGAGAGAGACCGCGGAATCAAAGAGAGAGCCTCCTTAATCATTGAGGCGAGCCGGGCTGCAACGAGACGAAGGCGGCGGGAGCGCCTGTCAACCGGAAGTACCGTTCACTTCCGATGTCATGTTTATGTACCTTACCGTCTCGAGAACCCGAATGAAAACTGGAGGGAGACTCGGGTAAAGGAGGAATGGCCGCCCTCACATTGCTATCAGAAGCGATAGCGATTATTCCCCCCCCCCCTTAAAACATGGCAGCAGCGTAGTTGCCCTAAATTGGTGCCCCTCTCCCTATTCCCGGCCACTATTGGAAACTTAAAACGCCCTCACATCTGGAAGTTCACCAGGTCGGGCGAGGCTGCCCCATAATTAAATTGGGAAAATAAAACGACTTGATTTCTCAGACGCCGAGCCGACAGGAACCGCCTCCTGTCTTAGAGCGGGAAAAGAAGAGCGTTGCTTTAATTTTTGTGCCTCGGGCAACTCCCCCCCCCCTTTAATTTGACGGCTTTCACTGGATACATAAAGCTGTTATGGGTCGGGTAGAGGAGGGCAAAGGTTTCTCCCTCCTAGCTCCCTTCTTTTCTGACGTGCTTGGAAGCGAGCCTGAGTCCGAGGAGAGACTTAACCTCGTTTTTAAAGTCGTAGGACCCTGGATGTAGTGAAGGGACGGGGCTCCTTGGTGCTTGCTGCTTGTAGGGCGACGCGTCGGAGCTGCTTTTCTATCTTTTGTAGATTGCATGCTTGCGTTTTCGAGAAAGGATAAGGAATTCTGCCGTCCTTATTGTACCTGAATGTGCACTTCTGGGTTTCATGGGCTGACCTGGGGTAAATATTCCAATTAGATAATTATAAAAATTGCCGAAAAAAAGGGAAATGATGGGGAGAAAAATGGGGTGTATTTGCCTACAGGGTTTTTGTAGACAATACAAAATATCATATGCAAAAGCAAATGGACTAACTTTTCAAAATCTGTTTTTTTCCTTTCTTTCCTAGTTGTACATATTCTTTTTTCCAATTAACTTTATTATTTTCCACTCCAGGATCTATTTACTAATATTTTTGGTGGAAGTCTCATGGTGATGCTTAGTGAACAGCAACTACAAGAGAAGGTGCTTCAGTATGAAGCATTTATCAGTGATGTTTTGCAGAGAGACCTTAAGTGAGTGATTTTTAAAAAAACACTTTCCTAGTCCTCCTTTTAACTACCTCACTGCAGTTAACCCATCATGTGTCATGCTTTCTAGATCTCTTAGTCATTGATATAGATATTTCAGACATTGATATTTCCCTACAGGAAAGTGTTGGAGCAGCGAGATGAGATTTATGAAAAGATTGCTCAGTATTTGCAACTCAAGAACATTATTGAACGTTTACAGGTAATTAAAAACTCTTTTTAACTACTTTGGAAAGATTTATGAAATATACTTTTTATACTACTTTTCAACCATGTGATGTAGTAGTACCCTGTTGTAATAGACACTAGGAAATAAGAATTAAGAGCTGCTGTGCCCCAGGTAAATTTGTTGTTTTCTTTTAGGAAACAGGAAGCCAGGAGCTGAAAACTCAAGTGGATCTAGGCTGCCATTTCTATGTCAATGCAGAAGTGTGAGTAGCTCACTGATCTTTCATGTATTCAATATCATACAACATTCTAGTCTTTTATGCTTTTTTATATGTTCTGCAACTTTTGAGAAATTCAGTTAAAAATACTATTTTTATGCCTTTCATAAGAACCAACTGGTAAAATAGCAAAAGTTGAAATGAGACAAAGGGCTATTAGTCCAATTCTCTTGCAAGAGAAGTGATCTTTGTGTATCTACTAGCAGTTAAGTTTGTTGTAGTAGCAGTCAAATCAATTGTGACAGTTTATTCATCAATTATTTAATTTTCTTCATGATTGAGAAGAAGGCTGCACTTCTTCAATGGTTGTCAATCATACAAATGCTAAAGTCTAAAGGATTTAATGAAGATAAATAGAAATGATAATATTTTTGTAGTGAGATTAGATATACAAATACACGTTGAAATTTATAAGTGATTAATATTGGTGATTATTATTCTTCATAACACTAATATGATCTACCTGCGTGTGAGTGATAGGTTTGAAGGATTTCGGCTATTAAAGAGTATCTGGTGGAGGATAAACAAATTGCATGCTGGATTAATCTGAACTGGCATCCTGTTTTTCACAGTGATTGACTGTGAAGTCAGTGAAAAGAACAAAAACACTATAGCTTCTTGTATTATTATTCTTTGGCTGATATGATTTTATTTATGACCAAAAGTCCCAAAAGCAAATTATAAATATAATTAATTTGGAATTAGATAAAACAATTTAACAAATAAAATATTATGATTACATAATACACTTAAACTCTAACTCATTGTTCATTTAAGGACTGCTAAAAGTTACAAGGCACTGAAAAAAATGACTTAGGACCATTTTTCACATTTACAACCTTTGTCCATGGTCATGTGATCAAACTTCAGATGCTTGGCAACTGGTTCATACTTATGACCATTGCTGTGTCCTAAGGTCATGTGACCACCTACATTTCCCAACATTTTGACAAGCAAAATCAATGGGGAAGCCAGATTTACTTAACAACCGTGCTAACTTATCAACTGCAGTGATTCATTTAACAACTGTGGCAAAGAAGGTCATAAAATGGGGCAAAACTCGTTTATCAAATGTCTCAACACAAATTTTGAGCTCAGTTGTGGTTGTAAATCAAGGACTATCTGTACTCAAAATATCTTGTCTTGGTTTGGATTTTAAAATAGGCCAGGTAACTTCCTGCCATTCTTAAAAATATTTTTAAAATCTTCACACTATATCATATTTTTATAACTGTCATAATTAATAACCACTGATAGTTTCAGTCTTCACAGATTTATCTATTATTGAAAACTATTTTTCTGCCTTGACTCTCCCACCTTTGAATGCCCCTATATCAGTGATGGCAAATCTTTTGGGCACCAAGTGCCCAAACTGGAATGTGTGCATGCGTGTGAGGCCGGAGCGCCAGAAACCTGAAAACCAGCTGGCCAGTGTGCATGCCTGTTTTCCGGCCATTTTTAGGTCGTTTTTCTGACTGTTTTTAGCCCCCAAATAGCTGAAAAATGGCCTGAAAAACGGCCTGTTTTGGGCCATTTGGGGGCCATTTTTTGCACTGTTTTCAGGCCGTTTTGGGGGCATATTTGGAGTCAAAAATGGCCTGAAAATGGCCTAAAAATGCCCTGGAAAATGGATGTGTATGTCGGAAACCAGAAGAGCAGCTGATGACTGCGTGCGTGCCCACAGAGAGGGCTCTGTGCCACAGGTTCGCCATCATGGCCCTATATTTTAATATTATATAACCTGATTTATAATATAACAAGGAATCTATACATCTTCTCATGGTCCAATCTTTTTTTTTTCTTAACCTGAAACACTTGTCAAAAGGTTGAAATACATTTCATTAGAAAAAAATCCAGAAAATTAAAATTATCTTCTTTAAATGTAAGGAAAGAATAGCACAATAGGGTTCCTAAGTTAAACTTTTTAAAGTAATTTGTGCTAAGTTCTTGTAAACGGTTTCCTTTTCCTAAGTTAAACTTTTTAAAGTAATTTGTGCTAAGTTCTTGTAAACGGCTGTCATAGGACAGCTGTAAAGGCTGAAATTTATTTACAGGGCACCATTTATATACTGTATGCTGTAATTTGCAGCCTAATCCCCAAACAAAACATCCAGATCTTTTCTAAAACCTTAATTTTCATGTTGTATTGCATGAGAAAGCTCTAAGTGAAGTGTGAAAAATGATTTAATCAAAAGATTTTTGTTGGACTAATGGGTAAATCTGCTGAGGAGATTGCCTGCAATTTCTCTGTATGATTTGGACTTTTAGTTCTCCGTCCCCTCAATCAAGAAACATGCTCAGAATGATGAGTCATGCACTCAGGCTATTCTTAGTGGTAAAACATTCTGGAGAAAACACTTTGGGCTGCACAATAAAATGTTTTTAGGTTCAGGATTTTAAAAAAATACATACTGTACATATACATTTATTTATTAAATGTATATGCAGCCCATCTTGCTGTCTAAGGCGACTGTGCTAGTTTAGGAAGCATTGTTTTTAACAAATGGTGTTAGAAATGAAAAGAAGATGGAACATTGAAAAAAGGCAAAGTCAGAAGAGAGACAAGTAGTGAAAGTCTTGTCTTTTCTCTTGACTCTCCCCACCCCATCTGTCAGAATATGCATCTGAACGGAGTTAACTCTCTTAACCAAATTTCCCTATAAATAAAAAATATTAACATTTCATTTTTCAGCCTGGGAACATATGATATACAATTGTTCTCTGCTTTTCCCTAAATATTAGTGTTATGAAATCTACAACTTCATTACAAATGGATGATGATGATTTGTGGATATTTTGTCCCCAGATGAACTCATTCTTGGTTAAGAACAAAAGGTTGTGCATTGAAAGATAATGTGCAGAAAGAGAGCCAAATTTAGGCTGCTTTCCCACTAGCATTGCCCAGTATAAAGACAGGTGGCTGAGTGTGAAGTAACGCTTCTTTCTTTCCTCTTCCTAATAGCAGAGGGCCAAGGATAGTGTGAACACACATTAACTAAGCAGAAAGAGATTGTGTTTGTCAAACAAAAACACAATGATGAAAATCTGGCATCCTGTATAAGAATGAAAAATATTTAACAAAGATAGGTAATTGTTGATGAATAATAATAATAATCTCTCAGGTCTTATAAATTGATTAATTAGCATACATTGTCTTTAAAATAAGTTAACTCTATTTGTTGTTGACTTAACAACAATCGGGACATGAATTTCTATCAGAGCAGATGTTAAAGTGAGTCATCATGTCACCAGACCTGGGTTTACATTTATGTTTACCTATTTTAGGTAAAAATAAACCACCATTTTAGTTAAGCAAATCCAGCTTCCCCAATTGACTTTTTTTGTCAGAAACCAGCTGGGAAGATCATAAATTGTGATCATGTGACTGGAGGACGCTGTGACAGTCACGTGTGAGGACAAATTGTAAAACATTTTTTCCAAGGCTATCGTAACTTTGAAACATCATTAAATGATTGTAAGCCAAAGATTACCTTGCTATCTTCAAATACAACCCATACACATGAGCATGTTTCTCTCCTTCCACATGATGTGGGGATGTGGAGCTGCCCTGAGAAGGGGAGAGGAAAGAAGGAAGATGAAAACTGGATGGAGATAAGACAAGGGGAAGAAATAGCTGGGAAGAACAGAAGAGAAATAAACCCTGTTGAAACATTACAAAAATCCTTCCATTTCCTACCATCCAGTCAGTGTTGAAGAAACCTCTTGAATAAGAAGTGATACATCTTCAAAGAAAAACAAGAAAGTGCAGTTGCCTCTTGAAAAAGCACCTTTGGGATTACGAAAAGGATTAAATTTACCAGGCAGATTTTTATTGCACTCTATTGCACGTCTTGCCTATTCTTTTCAACTGTTTCTTCTTTTATCATCCCTGAATGTTGAGGCACCCTTAAAAGATATTGGTGGTTTAATGAACAGCCTGGTGCTCTCTTTCTATGTCATCATACAGTAGAACAAGTGTAATATATTAGAAAGTTAACTTTACATGTACCGGTATATATGTATGAGGGTAGAGAAGTATAACAGTTTATAGAAAACAATGTACAAGGCCAACCCTCTTTCACTTTACTTTCCTGCTCTTAGATCTTTTTTCCTCTTGTAGAAAAAAATTAACCCATCCCATCTATTTTGTTACTTTCGGTTATACTACTATCACCCAAATATTTCAAAACTGGAAAAAGAAACACTGGATGCACGGCAGTATTTAGCTGGCTTGCACTAATCAAAAAATGCTATATAGGAACAGATCTGGATAGTATTTGGATAGGAAACAACCAGGAAATCCTGGATCTGGAAGCTAGATAGTGAAGCTTGAAAAAATTCCCAGATAAAGAGTGGCAAACAATTTCCATTTTGCTTCCAACAGAGCTAATATTCATGAAATTACCAAGAAGTTGATCTCAACTGAAGGAAATCTTTACTGTACTACATTGTATGCTTTGTTTACTATACTCCATTTTTTTCTTGGTTCATTAACTAATTTCAGTATATTCTACCTTAACATGGTATATTTTACATTTCAAATCTTCCTAATGTCTGCCAGTTTACCTTTCATGAAGAAAATAGGAAGAGATGACTCATTTTCTCTGAGATATATTTGCAATTTTTTAAAATAATATAAACTGTGATTGGATTTACATAATATGCAACCACGATTTCCTTAGCCTTTATTAAAGAAATCATAAATGGTTAGATCTGTACAATTCAAAATGAAACAAACTCATGTAATTTAGCAGAACATGTGATTTGATCTTTTATACTCAGCAGACAGAATCCCAGTTGCTATTTTGGTTATCTCTGTGGCTGCATTAAATGCCAATTGTATTCGGTTTCCTTTTCCTGCCTATAGGCCTGATACATCCACCATGTTTGTAGCTCTGGGTTATGGGTTCTTTGTGGAGCTGACTCTACCAGAGGCACTAACCTTCATTGAGAAGAAGACAAAGTTGCTTAATGAGTGAGTAGAAGAATTTAGTCTTTATATTTTCTATTCTCACCTCATTACTGAAAGATGATTTGCTCTGTTATGTCCTATGTGATAAACCTAGGGTTAGTATGCTTCTCTAGCTCTTCTTTAGTAGCATATTTTCTGGCTGCTATAAGCAGAACATGCTTCTTGAATGTATGTACAAGATGAGACGATATTATAGTCCAGCCATTTTTTAAAATAAATATTTGATTCAGTAGATCCATGTATTCTTTTAGCGCATGTACATATTACTGATTTAACATGGTTAATAGTCACTCTGGCATAGAAAAATCTGCAGTTTGTATTGTTGTGCATGAGGCTAAGGAATCTGACATCATCGGTCATCACAGAAATAACATTCACAGGGTTTGGAAAGAATGTCATCATATGTAAACTCAGTGCATCTTTATTATATTGGTATAAATTTCATGCAGCTATATATCATTAGTCATGGCTACAACTTTATGAAATGATACTGTATTTATAAAGTGAGGAGATTGAAAGGACAAGGAGGCTGCAAGTGTATGATTAGAAGCAAGATTGGCTCCTAAAGTAGTTTTCAGTGTAGTTTCTGAATTTTGAATTTATGGAGTATAATTTTGCTAATTGGATTATATCCTTAAATACTAGCCATTAGTGGGAATACCTTTTTTAAATTCTTTCCTCCTGTTCAGACCATGCTTCTAGTCAGCTGGCTGGCAAAATAACTTATAATAATGCAATTATTCACTGCATTTAAAAAGTGCCTTTCTATAAGTGTAAATGCAATTTCCAACCACAGATGATGGAGAATAGATCATTTGTGAAATAGAAATGGTAGCTGAATTGTAATGGTAACCAAACTAAATGTAAACTAAGCCACAAGTAAAATGACTTCTCCGCAGTGTAGAATTGGAAATGGGTAGTGAAGTGACATCAATAACTTTGAAAATGCGAGACCAAATTCTGTGGAGGGTGAGCCTGAATTGTGTGCAGCTACATTCTACATCATAGCTGGACATGTCCTCTTTTTACTTCTATAGGCTCCAGCAAACTATAAAATATTGAGCCGAGCAAGCATAGATTAAGTCTCTTATGCAGGAAAAAAAAATGTCCTCCTTTTCTTTTGTGCAGCTTAATCCATGTTTGCATTCAGTAGAGTTTGAACTTTGATGGGTTCATATAGGACTGCATTCTTATTCATATTCAGATAAATTTCCCAGCATGCACTATAAAAATAGGTCCTCCCTGTATGCCATATTGTCTTCATCAATGGGCAATCAAGAGCTGTTACGATTTACCAGGCCAACCTTTCCTTCTCCATTATCTCCTATGGATTTTTTCTGTTTTTTGACAGGCTCAGTGAAACTCTTACTAAAGATTCCGCCAGAATAAAAGCCAATATCCGGATGGTTTTAGAGGTAATGGGATGTGGTCAGCAAAGTTTTTACTGTTGGGGGAGAAATGGGGGGATGTGGCAGATGGCATTCATTCTTCTGGCAAGCAGAGAAAGAAATGATGGTGGGTTGGAACTAGACTTGAAGAAAAGAGTAATTGTGCAGAATTAGCAAGAACTGCTCTTTCCTAGGCTACTGTTCTGACTTCCCCAAGCCGCAGTGTTGGCAGATATGTTGGATGGCTATTTCCATCTTCCGTAACTAGTGTGGTCCTGTACCATACAGGCTGAAGCGGTTAGGTGCTTTTGTCCCACATCAGATCAAGAAAGCTCCTTTATGAAACAAAGAGGATATTTTTTTCTTGTATAGTTTGGAATCGTGATTATACTATAAAAGAAAATAAAAGGAATCAGTAGAGAAACCTGAATCTCATCTTCCTTTTCTTTCCGAAGGGATTACGTGAACTGCAAGGTTTCAAAGATCTGCCTGAGGAGAACAGAAACGATGTTTTCCTCTAGGTATCCATCTTCTATGATCCACAGGGAGTAATTTTGGTTTTCTAGAAGAAAATTTGATTGGATTTTTTGCTACAGTAAGGGCTGCATGCATGGGGAGAAACTGGTGAATGAGAGACAGTGACATGATGTGACACGCAGGGACACAGTAACATGAGGAAGAACAGCTCCACTTTTAGTGAGGGTGTTAGGCTCTTTGAACTTCCTCCCATGTCTCTTCCAATTTTAGTGTTTCATTTTAAAAATAATTGTATTAATAAAGATTATGTATTTGTACTGGATTCTGGACTCTTATCTTCCTTCCATTTTCAGTATCTATTCCATTAAGTTGTGCTTCAATTTATAAGAATAGCCTCTGCTTTTACTTGTGCAAAGTTGACATCTTTACTTTTTCCTTGTTTATTTTATATTTATAACCTTTTATTCCTATCAAAATAAATAAAATATAAAAAGTAAAAATAAGATATATTTGTATGATTTATAGAAAGATTTCATGAACTTTTTGATACAATAGAACAATTTTAGTATTACGATTATTTATTGCTTTTTTGATAATGACATTTTAACATAGAGAGGACCTCCCTTTCAAAATGTAACTACCATCAATTGTACACTTCAGTTGTATTCTTCACGTTAACACCCTGGGGAAAAAACCCTGCAGTGCAATGCCCTCATACAGCATCTGGAATATTGTGAATACTTCTGCTTACCACATTTGATAAAGGATAAGGCCAGGCTAGAAATACAATGCCTCCAAATACCTCTTGCAGAAGAACAGAGTGGAGAAGTGAATGAGGGGTATGTCTCCATCTCCATCTTGCAAACATTCTAAAGGTATCTTGACTGGCTACTGAGAGAAACAAAGGAGCTGACAAAATTGGCCTTGACCATATCCAGCAGAGCAACTGTTACTTTAATAGGATTTTTTTCCTGTCCTGATTATAAAATACTGATTCTCGTGTATAAATCAGAAACAGATAATTGGGAGGAAGTGATGAGTTGGGACTGATTTACCTGCTTCTTACTTTAGTGACTCAGTGTCCTTTCACATAACGCTCTTCACTTGATTGAGTTAGCCCATTTTCTAGGTGGACCTTCCTTTTCTTTTTATCACAATTTTCATAGCTCAATTTGACCAACATTAACATCATTCAAATAGACTAGGCTACCTAATATGTTAAGCCACACTCAGGAAAAAAAATCTAATAGAAATTATTACAGTAGAAATTATTCTACTGTATACAAGCTTAACACATGCAAATGCACCTGCTCAGCATTTAGCTGACTGGCTTAAGTGTAGTCTCTGAATAAACCCAGTAGATTGATCTAATTCTGCTAAGTATTACAATTTTGGAGTGAACCAATGCATAGACCTGTAGCTTGCATGGCTGTTACTGGTAGTTAAGTAAGATGGAGAGTTGTGTGGATATATGGTGGCTAAAGTGATAGGTGGATTGCAAGGTATGCATTACTTAAATTCAAGAAAGGCAGTAGGAAGGCACTGTGACCATTTGCATGTGGGCTGCTCAACAAGCTAGATGTTAGCCCTTTGAAGTAGTCCGTGAAGCACAGCAATGAATACTAGTTTTTAAGGTTACATTAACAGACTCTTGCAAGTCTGAAACTATTTCTCTCCTTTGTTTTTACTCTCCAGAAAACCATGGCATCTTCTGAAACATTTTCCACACCTCTGCTTCTGTGAACTGAGATACAATTTGCATGATGGATGTCATTATTCAAAGCCCCCTTAAAATTTGAAGCTAGCTCTAGTCTTCCCCTTCCAGCAAGCTAGAAATCTCTTTTCGTGACATCTGCAGATTCCTCTGGTTCTTCTATGCTTAGTTGTGAGATGAAGTTACCATGCTTAGGAATCCTAGGCAGGGGGTAATAATGCAAATGGTTTTGGAATCAGAATAAAGTCCCAAGTTTGTAAAAGTTAATTAGATGAAAGATTTTGAATTTTGAATTTAATAAAATTTATATGCCGCCCAATCCCATAGGACTCCGGGCGGCTTACAAATACAAAAATAAAGTCAAAAACTAAAACATAGGGAAAAGAAAAGATAGATTTAAAAACAACACACCATACACTCAGTTCTAGATGGGGCTGGACCTCATTTTGGGGTCAACAGCCCCAGGCCTNTTGACACACACAAAATTGTACTTCGATGTCTTACTGATTGAGGAATGATGAAATGTTTGTTTTAAAAGAAAGAAAACCTTTGAACAAAAAAAAAAAGTAAATCATGATTTTAAAATCGATTGGTTCACATAACATGCTAAGGTAAAACATTGTATTTTAGGTTGATGTGGTAACCTAGGTACTGTTGGACATAGCAAAAGAGCTTCTAAATAAAATTGCAACCAGCCTGCTAATAGCTTTTTGCTGGGATCCAGTTTTCTTTAGCAGAAGCCTTTTCTGAACCCGTTGCCCTCCAGATGTATATTGAAACTGCAATTTTCAGAATCCCCAGCCTATACAGACGGTGACTATCCTGGCTTGGCATTTTAGGAACTTTATTTCTGGCACATATGAAGGACGCCAGATTGGGGGGAAATGGTTTTGTAGAGACAAAATATTTCCAAATGCCTCGGGAGAGGATGTTTCATGGCCATGACAGTCAGAGAGCAGTTTCATGACCATCTTGAAATAATCTGACAGTGTTTTGAAAGAAAGAGGATGTATGACCAACCTGCAAGATACATTTTATGAAACCTCAGTTTTAAGGAAAATAGAGCAAACAAATTAGTCCCAGATCAGTAGATCAAGAGTGAGTTCTGATTTTTTTTTTTTAACAAAAGGACTGGTTATTAGCAGAGAACTTGGGAAGAAAACTGAACTGTGCCTGAAACTAGTCTACAGTACCAAATGAATCGTTTGAGCAAAGTTAGGCTCTGAGGTTTATTTTTGGGACTTTCCCTGTAAAATAATAATTAACTTTCAAACCAAGTAAACTGGTTCTGCTTTGTTTAGGAGAGACTCTTTGATCTCCCAAATCTTCTCCTGGTAGCATCACTTTTATCATCTCTGTTTTCTGTCCCCATCCAGGTCATAGTGGAGCCCATTCCTCTGGAGACTCCTGTCCTTGATGAGAAGGTGCTAGTGAAAGTGGAGGAGAACCTGGACCTTGACGAAGAGGCAGCTGCTCTGATGGTTTTAATGGATGGCGGAGTGAAGGAAGAGACAGCTCCTCCTGAGAAGTCTTCTCCGGAGAAGGAATCTGTGGAGGCCGATCTGCAACAAGACGGAGAGAGGCTACTGAAGAAGGAAGCCCAGTTATCTCCCAGCCTGGTGTCTGTTTCCCTTGAGGGACAGCCACAGAAGGGCAAGAAGCCTAAAGTCTTGGAGCTTCCTTCATTGCCAACTCAAGAGAAAGTGAATGCAGCTGTTAACAGCCTCCTGGCGCCGGGCGGGACGGGAAGCACCTTGACACCAACCACGGTTATTTCCTCCCATGCACTGGTGAGACCATATTTTTTTAGCAGGTCTTACTGGATTTTGATCCGTTCCCACAAACTAAGGATGCAACTGGGGATTCCTTTCCAAAGTTAAAGGGATCTGGTTTTCATGGTGGATGCATCTAATTTGAATGGGATGTTTACTGTTTCCTTGGAGTGCCAGGCAGAAAAATGGACAGACGTATCACACTGTTTCCTTGGGTTTGGGCAGAGATTAGCTGTAGTATTTAAGACACAGAAAATAAATGCGAAGTAATGAATTAAAGGCATAAGATAATAGAGAAGAAAAGAACATATAACTAATTCTAATTTACTGTTCACTTTTGGGGTGAGGGGTGTGCCTTCGAGTCAGTGTTGACTCCTGGCGACTGCTGAACATATCCTGCAGTATTCTTGGCAAGATTTCAGAAGTGGGTTTGCTTTTGCCCCCCCTCCTAAAGTTGAGAGTAGCCCAAGGTCATCCAACTGGCTTTTTTGTCTAAGGCAGGATTAGAACTCACAGTCTCTTGTTTTCTACCTCAATAACTACTGTGCCAAACTGCTCCATCCATTCACTACACCTCTTATTACTGTTCTTTCCTTACAGTCTATCCTTGCTTCCACCACATCCATGCCCTGATTCGTACATTGCCTTTTGTTCTTAAAACTTCTCATCTCTCTCTTTTTGAGAACCTCATCAATTCCGTCTTACCCTGAATCTCATATTTCCCTTTCCACTTGATCCAGTCACTCTTCTTGGGCACATCTCTCTTAATCCCACCTGCCTATCAAAATTCCGCCCTCCCTCTATTGTAATATTCTCTATATAGTTCTACAGTTTCTTCTATCATCGCCACCATACATATAGCCGTCTGTCTACTATCCACTTCATGGCTTGTCTTGGCATATAATTTGGTTTAGTTATTTAAATTACCTGACTGCTTAGAGAGGCATGCCAAACTGGGGAAGAAGTGTGTTTCTATTGAAATTTCAATGAGAATATCGGTCTCTTCTCAGAAATTAAGAGAGCGCTATTCCTATGGCAAAACCTTTTTTTAAAAGCATTACATGAATTCCATCCCCCATAAGAAAAGGAAAAAGCCCACTTACCGGGTGATTCAGCTTGCCATGGTAAGCACTCAGTGATCATACAGAAATAACACAAATGAGTACCTTGTCGTACCTTACTCTGCTGCATGTTGAGAAAAGTGATTGATGGTTGGTTTTACCATTGATAGACAATACTCAGTGGGTGGAGAAGGGTAGCAGGGAACCCACCAATCATTGCCCTAAAACAACGTCCCATTAAACTGCAGGTAGGCTTTGAAGGAAACATGTCAACATGCTTCCAATTCAGGAATGGTAGGAAAGCACATTAATATAGCTGATTCATGCTCTCTATGTGACCAAACCACCTCATTGTACTTCTTTAACATGGGCACTTAATTTTTACATTCCTCATACGTCCTTTCATCACTTGTTCATTCCCAGCTGTACCTCTTTTTGTATACTTGCACACTTCTTATGTATCTTATTTTCCACTGCACTCAAAATACTATTATATTTCTTCTGACATTTCCAACACTCATATAATGGAGTGTGCAGAATCATGTTTTTGTACATAACCATTTCACTTCTTTTGATAAACATTCGTTTCTTGCAGCTGACCATATATTTCCCATTACTTTTCCAAAAATTCTATCCATTTCCCCATATTGGTAAACACTCACTAAATGTATGCATTTATTTAGTTGCTCTTTTTGCCCTTTATGTATGAGTTGCATATGGTTATTCCATTGTCCCAGTGTCACATACCATGTAACATAATTGCAAATAGTCTCAGGCCAGTAAATGGAATTATCTGCATACAAAAGGATATGCATATTCATTTCTCTGACTAGCACATCTATAATATCACCACAACCATTCCTTATTTATTAACTTATTGCATTTCTGACCCACTTTCCTTCCCGCCATATCGCCACTGTCTCAAGGTACAACATCAGATATTCTCTTGCTCTGTTCTTGCTGTTGGAATGATTCAGGAAGCATGTAATATATTTCACTTGTATGCCACACCTGTTGCATTCAGCAGCCTTCCTTCAACTCCACATTCTTGGAAAACATTTCATACTTGGCACTTGTTTATCTTACATTTTTTCTCAATTAATATATTTGAGTTAGACTTTCTCATCTTCATATATTTATCAGGAATCTGCCCAACAGCAAAAACCTGAATCCTCATGTTTAATGTGCATTCCTCCTAAATTAACAAAGCCTATGTTGACAAAACTGTACCCTTGGGCCAGCATGTTGACAAAATTGCATTTGCTGCCAGTAAATGGTGCTGTCCTTAAAGCTTTAACGTGGGACCCTTTCAAGGCATCAATTGATCCATTCTGTGGTTTTGTTTTTCTTTCTAGCAACCAGCATTATGTACCTGAAGGGAGGTGGTGATGGTGGGGAAACTACAATCACTTTCCTTAAGATGTGCATTGATTGGTAACTTGAGTTACTTTTCAAGTTCCCCAAGGGAGAATTCACTGCTGTAGTGTAGATCATGCGTGAAGCGAATTTTGGACACATTTTTAGGGGTCTTCTAGAATAGCAGAACAACTGTGGCCCTTACTCAAAAAAAAAATAATGCCAAGGAAACAGGTTACACGTGAGAAACAGTGCAGGGTGAACCCTAGGCATGTTGGAACAGTTTTCTCTGGTTTTATCTCATGCAGCCTTTCAGTTGGAAAGGCAAAGTAGGAAAATATCTCTTTAATACCTGCGGAAAAATGAGAATATTCGCAACGGAAGAGTGCCAACTCTCTCCTTCAAAATCTTTCCTTGTCTTCTTTGTGAGAACCAAACTTGGAAAAATTGGTCAATGCACTAAGTGGCTATTTTGAAGAATTGGGATGTTGCTGGTTTTCCATGTTAAATTTTTCTTGTTGTTTTATTCTGCTCTTCTTTGCAGACTCCAGTACTGCTCACCCCAAGTTCCTTGCCACCCACCATCCATTTCTGGAGTACCCTGAGCCCCATTGCACCACGCAGCCCAGCCAAGCTTTCCTTCCAGGTATGGTTTGAAATCTACATCATCTGTGAGGGGAGAGAAAGGATGTCTGTGAGGGGAAGGTAAAACCTGAGATTGGGATCACTAATAGTGAATGGATTTGAAGTCATAATTTCCTGAGGGAGTGGAAGAATAATCAAGTTTGGCTCATGAAAGAAACACATGAAGGCTCTATGTGTGGGATGTTTGCAGGCCTCATTAGCAAGTATGGAATGAAGAATTGGTTCCACCACAAAACCGCGGTAGACTAAAGCGCGCTCGACGAAAGCNACTCCCAGAATTCCCCAGCCAGCATTTGCTGGCTGGGGAATTCTGGGAGTTGAAGTCCGGACATCTTCAAGTTGCCAAGGTTGAGAAACACTGCAATAGCTTGTTTAAACATTATGTATCAAAACTCTGAAGCAACCCAAAGAGTTGATGTTCATGGTATTTGTGGAGTGTTTCCCCCCCCCCCATCCTAGGCTACTCTTCGCTTCACAGCTTAATAGACTGGACACAGCCTTACAAAGCACATCTGGAAGTATTCACCAAACTGGTTTTAGCCAAATCAAGTGGTTACACTTTTTTTAATTTTATCTCTTCAGCATGGCTGTGTGAGCGTACCTGTTTGATTGATTGGGGAGATTAGAATAACTGGTTGCTTTGCAACGAACCCCATCCTCATCCCCATTTCCTTGCATGTAGAAAGCAAGTATGCCAAAGAATGATTCAGCCCAATCTTTTCCTCGATACTATTTTTTCTCTCTCTGAATGAAAGAAACCCACACTTTCTAGTCCACCTCAACCATAGCACTTATTACTGGATTCTTCTAATTTGCAAATGTTACCTATCAAGGATTGTGCCCTTCAACGATCCATATCCCTGAATTGGCTGTCCTTTTGCTCTTCCTTTCCCCCGCTTTAGTCATGGATCCTTCAGTCACTCTGTGGCAGTTTCTTCTGCAATTGCTGGAACAGCAGAGCAATGGGCATCTGATTGCATGGACATCCAATGATGGGGAGTTCAAGCTGGTGGATGCAGAAGAGGTTGCACGACTCTGGGGCCTGCGGAAGAACAAGACCAACATGAATTATGACAAGCTGAGCCGGGCCCTGCGTTACTACTATGACAAAGTGAGAGACCACTTTGTAAATTCAAGATGAATCTGCCAGTTCCTGCTTTGCTTTCCATTTCAGCTCAGGCTTAATTAAGGAGAGCACAGTGGAAACCTAAAAGAATATTTGGGTAGATGAACTTTTCTTAAAGATCAATAGGGAAGGAGTAAATGATGGAGCTTTGTTTTGAGACTCTCTGCTAAAATTAAATGCTAAATGTCTATATTTGTCTTCTGAGACTCCCAAGTTTCCTTTTTCTCTCCCCCCCCCCGCCCCGTTGCAGTTCTTATGCCTGCAAAGATAAGCTTGAATTTATATGAAATCTCTGAAAATTGTTTGTATCTCAATAAGAAAAGAGTAATTATTTGTAGGAAAACAAAGTAAATTTAGAAACATCTAGCAACTGATGTTTTGTTATAGGCACCCCACTTTCCAGAACAGAGTGACCTGATTATATACATACATACATACATACATGCATGCATGCATACATACATACATACATACATACATACATGGAGGAGACCTGCGGCATAATGGCTAAGACATTTGCCTAAGATGCAATACAGCACAGGTTCGAATCCCAGTAAGGGTATGGCTAGCTGATGAGAGCTAAATAGCTTGAAATAGATCTATACTAGTCTCCCTTTATTTATTTATCAGCACAAATAAAAAACATATATATATATATATATATATAAATATAAATATTTATAAATAAATAAATATAAATATAAATAAATAAAATAAATAAATATTTATATTTATATAAGTTATATTTATATTTAAAGTTATTTATATTTATATTATTTAAAGTTATATTTATATTTATATTTAAAGTTATATATTATATATATTATTATATATTAAAGTTATATAGCAACTGATGTTTTGTTATATGCACCCCACTTTCCAGAACAGAGTGACCTGATTTTTCCCCCCCTGGAAGAAAGCTCATTGAAGTTTATATATATATATAGCCAAAACACGTTCTCTCATTCTGAATGCAGGAAATAAAATACAATAGAAGTCAGAATTCAACTGAAGGTTAGGTAATGCTTCTGAATAGCAAGAGCAGCTTGACGGTGGAATTATACTAACACAGAAGGGTGGTGTTTTCTTGTATTTGTTCCAACGGATGCTAGGCTTTAGCTTGGGGTGCTAAATTAGGATTCCTGCATCAAACAGGAGCAAATCCTCCACAGCTCCTTCCAACTTTATGAATCTATGGAATATATAAAGGGAAGCAAACACCATCAACATCTGCCGACCCTCAGTTTTTGCTAATCTACCAGTAGCTCCAATTGATATTGGCAGTCATAATCAAATGCTAGAAATCCACCTACACATTATTATTGTGTTAAGGTTTCAAAGCTACTCTCCTTTAACAGATACACACATGTGCACATACGTATTGTCCCAAAAGCCGAATAAAACACAGCAAATAGGTATTATATTTTTTCAAGTCAGAAAGTATCAACTGCAGTCTAGCTCATTTCAGAAGACACTGGGTTTTTAAATTCAAATATCTTTCCAGAAAAACATTATCAATAGAACCAAGGGTGGGTTCCGGCAGGCACTACTGCCAGTTCACTTGTGATGTGCGTGCACGCATGCACAGTATAATTAAAATTGCTCTGCGCATGTGCAGAACCAAAAAACAAGATGGCACCCCCTATGACGCCCCCTATGGCGCTGCCAGGGGAACCAGTTTGGGGTCGTGGCAGACCTGGGTCCCTGCCAGTTCCAGCAATCCAGGCCTCCAAACCACTATGGGTTTGCCTGAACCAGTAAAAACCCACCATTGAATAGGATGTTGTCTCATGAAAAACGTAGCTGGATTACTTTGTCTCTGCTGCTCTAATTCAGCCATCCTTTCTGTCCCTTCCAGAATATCATCCGTAAAGTCAGTGGTCAGAAATTTGTCTACAAGTTTGTCTCTTACCCGGAACTTTCGAGTATGGAAGGCATGAAGGATGAGGCAGGTACCAAAAAACCTGAGCAGGTCCCAGGTGAGGCCAAAGGGGGTGAAGGAGCATTTGGTACTTCCAAAGCTCCCCGAGGAGGCGGAGGTGCCCCACGTAGCAGTCGAAATGAATACATGCGTTCCGGACTGTACTCCACTTTCACCATTCAGTCACTACAGAACCCTTCACCCGTTGGACGGCCCTCACGCCAGGAAACAGAGCTCTTGCCTGTGGTGCCTCCTCTTGCTGCTGCTCCTGAGCCAATGGCCCCCTTTTCCATGGCCCCAGAGGAGGACCTCCCACAACTACATATAAGCATTGAAGAACCAGAGGAATCCCAAGAGTCCCTGCAGGTGAGTCATGAAAAGAGATTTCTAACTTGCTGGAAGGGGAAGACTAGAGCTAGTTTCAGATTTTAAGGGGTCTTTGGATAAGATCACAGCAGATCACTCCCTGGATGGGTTTCTTTCTTTCTTTCTTTCTTTCTTTCTTTCTTTCTTTCTTTCTTTCTTTCTTTCTTTCTTTCTTTCTTTCTTTCTTTCTTTCTTTCT